AAACATGTTTCATACCAGGGTAAAATATAGATTTTTTTTGGGTAATATAGTCGACGAAGCATTTTTTCTAATTGGATTTCCGATTACCAGGGTAATCCTACGTATTTCAGCCATCTACGCGCCCCTCGACTTTGCGAAAGCGGCGTCTCCGCCTACACCCCGCCGCCCATCCTGTCGCCAATGCGCAACGGCTCCGGCCTTTTTGGCAGATCGCCAAGACGCTGGGGCAGCACGTAAGCAATTGTTTAACATTATTTAATCACACCCCTTCTCTAAGAAGTAATGCGATTTTATTTTATCATTATTACTATAAATCTATTTTTGTTATATTTATAAAATTCATTGATTAATATTTATACTATTTGGACTTTATCATAATTATTTAATACCGCTTAAAGACAATGAAAAATTGCAAAATCGTAGCAGTCACGATTCGGAACGTCTGGAGCAAAAAGCAAAAAAATGTCTCCCGCCGGGAATCGAACCCTGGCCTTGCGGGTGGCGAGCTGAGGATTTACCAATAGGCGACACGCCCAAACATAAAACACTTTTAGCCAGCGCTATTTTAATTAAACCTGAAGCCTCTGGATCTAAATTATGCACGACGTTTCCAAACATCTTCTAAAAAAGTTTTTAAATTTTTAAAAATTTGTGTTTCTTCCAAAAATTATCAAAAATAGGTTTTTCTAATCCCCAATTAGTGAAGGCGTATCGCACAAATCATCGAAAATAAACCTCTCATTATATCGGCTTAATAAAACGTAATCTATTTAATTACTTTACGTAAAACATACTTAGACCTTTAAAAAATGTCATTAAATTATTTCATATTGAACTTTTAGGTAACGCCGAATTGCAACGATTTTGCGGCGGCGGCTGGGACCGGCCTCTTGCCCACGGCAAATGGATTTGGAGGTCAGGCATATTTCGAATTTTAAAGGAACGTCGAAGGCAAAGAAAATAGAAATTTGAAAGTAAAATCTAAGTAATTTGGCTGTGGTACCAACGCGGAATCGGCGACCAGTAAAAGACGCTTTTTACATTTATCTAAAACATGTTAATTTAAACCGAGTAACCTATTAATATCATAGCCCTTTGTAATGGTATATATATAATCGGCCGAGAATAAACATAAATACTATATAAAAATTAGTGACTAGAAGAATGGAAGATAATATAGTTATTTATAAACTCCATATTCACCGGTAGATGAAACAACTTTTTTGCTCGCAGTTAGATTTGTTCTAGGTAATTTCGGAAATAACAAATACTCGGAATTTAATTTTATAGTTAGAATTGATTCTGATAATAAATTTAGTGCGGGGTTGAAAATTAGCTAATATCGTTGCAACCGAGAATTTTCACCGAATTAAAGCAGTCAAAGTTCATCTAAGAGCTTGTTTTGTCGAAACATTTTTTGCCGAACAACTTCTATCAATTACGCCAGCAATGTCAATTCAATTAATTTAATTTATTTTTTATCTAAGCTTTAGTTTATTAACCCATTTTATTAGTCTAATTTTTATGAATTTTGAACGTGGAAAACTAGATGTTTCATCAACTATTAAGTCCAAGATTGGATTTTGGCAGCGAATCTGCTTGGCTCTAGAGTAAAAAATCTTGCTTAAATTAAAATATTAAATCGAACCAAATTTTAGAGGATAATAATGCGATCTTTTAGGAGAGCACCAGATGGAGGCCTCATCCTCCTCGTCCGCCGGTGCTCCTTCGATTGTGCCGACGCCCGAGGACCAGAATGGGGGCGCGGAAGCGCAGGGCGACGCGCAGAACGGAGAGGACGGCCCGATGCGCAAGAACGGATTCTTTTACATGGGAAATCAGCATAATCAGGTATACTTTAATTTATATAATAAAAATTTAGAACATAGATTAGCTTAATTTCGTTTTAAATTTAAATAAAATACAAACAAACTATAACCAAGTAAATAAATAAATAAATAAATAAAATCCAATAAAGTACAATAAAAAATTCCATTAATATTTTAAATCGAGCTTAAATTTCGATGGTTTTTATACGTTTTTATACGTATTTGTCGTAATTGGGTCCCTTTTTCTCCTCGTTTTTGAAAATAGTGACGAAAAAATAGAAAATAGATTAAAATCTTATAAAAATTATACAAATATCGAAAATTATCTTAAATTTAGTCTTACTGTATTACCGTATTTCAGGTGAACTTCGCGAAAGAGCTGGAGGCGCTGAGAAAAGACTCTTGGGCCAGCACCAGCAGCAACAAGTCGAAACGCTCGATTACTATCGACGACAGGTACAGTAATTTAATTAATATCATTAATTGAAATATAAATCGTAATTTTAAAAGATCAATCTCCGAAAATAAAAATGTTTCAACAAATGATGATCCAAAAGTTTTAAGGGGTGCTACTACTAATCAGATTTTTTCGGCCAAAACCACTCCGGCAAAACGCTATTGAAATTCACGTTTTATAAAAATAAAAATACTCATAAATACCACAGTATAAAAAGCAATAAAGAAAATTGTGAATTTTACTTTAAGACGTTTCGCTAAAAACCGACTTTAAAATATGCTGTATTTTATTTATTTTACAATTTTGGTTTAAAAAACGTGTTTCATCAAAAACCTAACTGTCCGAATTTTAAAGAGCTCGAATGAATATTGAAAATATCACTTGCAAAATTCCATTTAAATTGATCCGTTTACAGGAGTGACGCGATGCGGAAAGCGAGCACCATGTCCGAGTGTTATTACGACTACCACTCCGCGGCCCAACATACTGACGCCACACCGTAAGTTATAAAAACTTATCGTTAACCTTTGAAAAATAGTGTTTCAAAAATGTATATAAATTAAAAAATGTGTAATCAAAAAATTCAGGTGTATGCTCCAATAAAAAAAACATTTCAAAATCAAATGTTTTATGATATCTAATACCCCATTTAATTACTGATAATATAATTTTGTGAGTTCACTCGCCTTAATTAACGTTTTGAGCTCGTAAACAATGGTCCAGATTTTAATTTTTATTCGCGAGAATGGTGGTTGAAAGACCTCTATTAATAAAAAATTCAAGCGAATTTTTGCGAAATTCCAATTGAAATTTGCGCACGACAAAGCATCTGAAAGATCAATGTTTTACGATACCTTACACCCCCGTTTATTTCGTCATAACTTAATCATGGGCGCTTTCAACCTGCTTAATTTAGATTTTTTTGGTGCATAAGGTTATGGAATTTCGATTTTTAATTTTAAATAAATCCTGTTTCAAACGTGTTTATCAGTCCCAGAATGAATATTTCCCTGATGGAAAGTTTGGAATTGGGATTTGCTGACCACTTAAATATTTGTAACTTGAATGTTTTATGACATCTTCTAGCTAGTTGAATCCATCAAAGTTTAATTTCAACCCGTCGCAGGCATCGAATTAATTTATTTTATAAAAAAATTGTTTTTTACTGCTAAATGCGTTTTAGAAAAATATGAATTTTGAAATTAGATCACGTTAAAGATCAAATTCAATTGAATCAAACCTTGATCTTTTGCAGATTTAAAAACCGATGTTTTATGCTATCTTTTAACTCGTTTAATGCGTACCAATTTAATTTGACACGTTTCAGGTGCTTTTTAATTATATTTTGAGTTAGTAAAGTGATACAAATCGAATTTTTTTATTCGTCGTTAATTATGCTTTTCAACTTTATTTAGAATTCGACGGAGACTAAAAAATATTTTTAGCCACATCAACATTGGGCGCGAGTTCCAGGCCCGCGTCAAAAAGTGGGCCGACCGGGAGATCACCGACGAGGAGAGGGAGGCCATCGAGGAACGCGATGAGATGGTTTTCGATTCGACGCTCATCGACCACCTATCTCCGGAGCAATGTGGGTTTCATTTAAATTCATTTAAATTGTTACTTAATTATTTGTATACTTATATTCTTGTATTGTAACCTATTTTAATTTGATTAAATTTATTTTATATAATTAATATCTGGCTTTGTTCTTTGCTAATTTTATCAGCACAGAAAATTGACTGCATCTACTCCCAATTCATCATTTCCAACCTCGCCGGGGGTTTCAAATATTTGAAACTCATAATTTTTATAGACCATTCTCGAAAAATGGAAAATTAATTCCTGACGATTTAATTACTACTATTTTATGTTTTTTTATAGCACCATTTGATCCTCGGAAAATTCCATATTTCGCTGAACCTCGCACATTTTTGAAACTTATCCTTTCTAATGACTGTTAGCGAAATCGAAAATTAATTTATGACTATTTAATTAATATGACTTTTTAATTTGTAGGAATACTCGTTTCCGAATCAATGAAAATTGAAGAAATAACCGAAACTCCCCATTTTCAGGCTCCTCTAGCTTTGATTTTTGAGATTCGCTGTTTTATTAACGGCCCGAAAATGTTTTATGCCTACTGAACCAATATAGTTTCAAAATTTGCTAAACTTTATGAATTTTTAAAACTTTAAAATTTTAGTGGTGATTGCACAAAAATGGCTAATTAATTTCCGATGATTCAATCACCATTAATTATTTTTTGATAATATCGTTTGATCATGGGAAAATCTCATATTTCTAAATTAGCCGAACTTTACGCATTGTTGAAACTTATCTTTTTTTGAAAGACCGTTCCCCGAAATGGACCAAAATCTCCATTTTGATACAATAAAAATTGACTCTATAGCGAATTATTTTGATTTTTGCTTATGCATGATCAATGCTGTAAGCAACAAAAAAGAAAGAAAGAAAAATTTTAAAATGCAAAAAATTTAGAATTTCCATTATTGTTGGTAAGTAGCGAATGTTGAACGAACAGTTTTTGTTCAAAATGTGATATCTAAATAATTCGCAAATTACCTAAGCAGTAGGTTATGTCCTTGTATTTCTATTTTATTATTATTTTCAGTAAACGCCTATGAGCTGCTCTCCTGCAGTCAAGCCGTCCCGAGGCCCGGTAGGAATAAGGTATCTAGACTTAAATCTTGAATTTAGCTAAATTGTTTTCTTAGGAATTGGCCCTGCAACTTCTTATGGAAAACAAAGGCAATCTCGAGGCGGCCGTGATGGATTTGTTACGGTATGTTGTTAAAAAAGCTAGATATGCAGCAAAAATTTTGCGAAAAAATGTTTTGGGAAAAAGTACGAACGCAAAAAATTTTAACGGCAGCAGTTCACATTCGAAAAATAGAAAAATACATGAAAATCGCAACAAAATAAATTCACCAAACGGAAAAATAATGTTTCTGTAAATAATAAAGGTCTGCGAGGTACGAGCTCCCTACTACGTTCGAGAAGGGCCAGATAACAAAACAAAATCTTAAAAATAGATTTTCGAGGGAATATTTGGTTATTATTTACTTAAATTTATCACTTAAATAGAGGTATAGAAATTTAATGCATGTTTTCAGCTCGGACACGCTGGACTGGGAGCAGTACCGCAGCATCTACGACTCGTACTACCCGGATACGACGCCGTGGAGTGCGGAGGAAATTCTCTCGTTCCAAGATGCGCTCTATAAGACGGAAAAAGATTTCCACCAAGTGGCGCAGGAGGTAGGCGATAGAGAGAGAGAGAGAGAGAGAGAGAGAGAGAGAGAGAAAGAGAGAGAGAGGGAGAGAGAGAGCTCTGGGCGTTTTTTCTAAGCTTTCTTGCAGCTCACCAACAAAACGGTCCGCGAATGCGTCGAATTCTATTACACCTGGAAAAAAGCGTGCCCCGACGACTACCGGAAACTACGGAATTTGCGTAGAAAACGCCAGCTCTTGGAGATTCATCAGCAGGTGCTTTTTATGCAATTTTTAAAGCAGAAATAAATTTTAAGCCTAAAAGAAAACAGAAAACATGGACTGGGGGAGCATCAAAATGCACTAAATTTTGTGCAATTTACCCCGCAAGGACGAACAGCTCTACATTTTTTTTCAAAAAAATATTTGAGCTTGAAGTTCTTGCTTCACCTCTGTAAAATCTATGTGTTTTAAATAATGTTTTTTAGATGGAAACCGAGCGGGACCCGTGCCCGATACCGGCAAAACAGAGGAAGCTTTCGGAAGACGATACTGAGGGTGGATCGGAGTGTGATACTGACGCTACATCACCCGGGTCATATTCGGCCATTCATGCTTCTTTGGAACCAAGATCGAGGTGGGTAGCTAGCCGAGATTGTTGAGAAAGAGGAGAGGACAGGCTAGCAGAGATTGTTGAGGAAGAGGAGAGGACAGGCTAGCAGAGATTGTTGAGGAAGAGGAGAGGGCAGGCTAGCAGAGATTGTTGAGGAAGAGGAGAGGGCAGGCTAGCAGAGATTGTTGAGGAAGAGGAGAGGGCAGGCTAGCAGAGATTGTTGAGGAAGAGCAGAGGGCAGGCTAGCAGAGATTGTTGAGGAAGAAGAGAGGGCAGGCTAGCAGAGATTCTTTGCGGAAATTGTGTTAACCCCGAATTCCAGGCAAAATTCCTTCATGCAACAATCCCCAAGCAGCTCGATGACGCCGATCCGGAAAACGTCCGATCTGGCGGCTCCGCATGTTCCGATGCAACAAATGCACAGCCCCTCGATTCCCCATCATCACCACCCGGGTTCCAGCAAGCAGCCGAACACGGTACTTTACTTACGATACCGAAGTTTTATGGATTTGTATGTTTCATCCGCGCGTCTTAAGTCAAGGCGCTTTTGCATTGGAAAAATCTGATGATGAAAAATATGTATCAAAAAATTTAGCGAATTCGCGAGTTTTTAGCCGGGTAATTTGATATACTTCTCTGATTTCCCACATTGTGAAATACTGCCTAATGACTTTTTTAAGCTGATTTTGGCAAATTCCAATCCTCAAAAACGTGTTTAAAAATAGTACAAATATTTAGAAAGTTGAAAGCCATTTTTGGAAAATTAAAAAGAAATTTAATAAGATGACGAAGTAAAAAATTAGAAACGGAAACTCTAAGATTTTTGTAATGCAATTTAACCATGCTTTTAGCAACCCTCAGCCCGGCACGGTTCCGTGTCGTCCGGCTCGAAGAAGGGCGCCCAACCCTCGGCCGACGGCTTCTTCCACTGCCGGCTGTGTGACAAGTGCTTCGAGAAGGTCAGCAACAAGCTCCTTGATCGCATGGTCATCCACTATGCTTAGTTAAACCAAAGAGAATTAGCGTTAAAATTTTTAAGTTAAAAATGATGACTTGTGGCTTCAGCGGATACTTTAACAAATATATGTTTCGGGTAAAATTAATCACAAATATAACCCATCGAAGAGCAATCGGCCCAGTGTTTTTTGGATAAACAAATCAGATTTCGGCATAGGGGATTGTGAGTGATTGTCGAGGGGTTTTTAAAGAACTTCATGTTTTGGTGACTATAGCTCCACCAGGAATTCATTAAATATATGCTATTTTCCAGTGAATCGCCTATAATCCAAAATTTCAGGTAAAATCGTTGAACGCCCACATGAAGAGCCACGCGATGAAGGCGAGGGCAGAAGCCGAGGCTCAGGCCCAAGTACAGGCACAGGTACGATGTCATTCGATTGTTTCGCAGTATTTGGGGGTGGGGTATCGGCAGATTCGCAAGCACGATAAAAAGGCATCAAGGGCATATGAACGTCTTCAATATACCTTTAGGTATCCGCACAACTCGCCCAACAAACCGCCATCCAGCAGCAAAATATGTTGCAAGGTGAGACAAAGCGTAGCAGAGATTGTTGTGGAAGAGGAGAGGGCAGGCTAGCAGAGATTGTTGGGGAAGAGGAGAGGGCAGGCTAGCAGAGATTGTTGAGGAAGAGGAGAGGGCAGGCTAGCAGAGATTGTTGAGGAAGAGGAGGAGGGCAGGCTAGCAGAGATTGTTGAGGAAGAGGAGAGGGCAGGCTAGCAGAGATTGTTGAGGAAGAGGAGAGGGCAGGCTAGCAGAGATTGTTGAGGAAGAGGAGAGGGCAGGCTAGCAGAGATTGTTGGGGAAGAGGAGAGGGCAGGCTAGCAGAGATTGTTGAGGAAGAGGAGAGGGCAGGCTAGCAGAGATTGTTGGGGAAGAGGAGAGGGCAGGCTAGCAGAGATTGTTGAGGAAGAGGGAGAGGGCAGGCTAGCAGAGATTGTTGGGGAAGAGGAGAGGGCAGGCTAGCAGAGATTGTTGAGGAAGAGGAGAGGGCAGGCTAGCAGAGATTGTTGAGGAAGAGGAGAGGGCAGGCTAGCAGAGATTGTTGAGGCAGAGGAGAGGGCAGGCTAGCAGAGATTGTTGAGGAAGAGGAGAGGGCAGGCTAGCAGAGATTGTTGAGGAAGAGGAGAGGGCAGGCTAGCAGAGATTGTTGACAGGAGCGGGAGGTAGAAAATTGCAGCTATCAAATTAGGTTCAAAAAAAGTCCCTTTTTCAGGTCTCGGCCAATCCGCTTCAGCGGCTCTCTCGGCCCTGCCGGCGACGGCGGCCGGGCTGCAGTTGGCACAGAACTTGACGCAGGGCCTACAGCAGCAGTTGCAACAGAATCTCCAGCAAAATCTGCAACAAAATCTGCAACAAAATCTACAGCAGAATCTTCAACAAAACCTGCAGCAAAACCTGCTCCAACAGGCCGCCAGCAGCCCGCTGAATTTGAATGCGATCGCCGCCCAGAATCTGGCGACACAGGCGATCGAGCAGCAGCTCGGCTTCAACCCTGCGGCTTTTCAGCCCGGCGCCCTGAATTTGCCCTTCTCGTCGATTATCCATTAAAGGGAACGTGCCAGGGAACTGGTTTTATTCCCGAAAACTTTTTGCAAACAATTTGGCCGATTTTTTTGGACTTCAGGCTTTTCTGAAACATGAAAATTTAAATATCAAAGCAATTTTTTTCTTTAACGTAATGCTTTTCTATTTTTTAAATGATTAAATAAATTTAGCTTATTTATATAAACTATATAAATTTAAAGAAATTACCGCATTAAAACAAATTCTCCCTGGCACTTTCTAAAAATTTCAAATGTTTCATTTAACTTTTTACATTTTTTCTGTTTTTTTTTCCTCTATCCGCTAGCCATTATAATATACCCTATTAAATATAGTTTTTTACAATTATAAAATTTAATCTATAGTCCCGATTTCTGTGATGCGCCCTTGAAGATATAGTCAACAAAAAATTTGGCCAGTTCCTGCTGTCAAATATTCTATTCCGTTACACGCCGATGATTCGCACCCAATCGTATCGTATCGCGCCGTATTAATGTAATTTTAGTATTGATTATTTTATGTTAATTTTTTGGTTATAATGTCATTACTATCATTACGTATCAGTGCATTTTTCGAATCCCCTCATCCCCCAATTTTCGCTAGTTCAATTCCGAGTTTCAACGCCCCTCCATTTCAACGATCTGCAACTTTTTAAAGGGACCGGCAAGGCTGGGGTTATCGATTTTGGCCATGGATTTTGGGCATAGATTTCAACGCGCCGCGACACGCGACGCGCGGCGCGGCGCCACAGCAACGTGTACACCCGGTTTTTCGTGTCGTAATGGATTATACCACTGTCGTACGGCCAAGCTACGCGCGCGCGTTGCGTGCTGCGTCGCGTCGCGTGTCTTCCCGCTTCGCGGCACTCACTACCGATGGAATTTAGAGCGCTAAAATCCATAGTCCTGCCTTGTCGACCCCTTTAATACGTACACCCCATGTAATTACGGGTCCCAATCGTTTCGCACTGAAATTATGGCTTCAAAAAAATTTTTAAAAAATCTATGTTTCACCTATTCTTAAAAAATCCAGATTTTTACGATGTACATATTTTTAAACTTTTCCTATTTTCCCCCTTTCCCCGGTTTCATCCAATAATCGCTTGCCAAAATGTGTCGAATTTGAATGTAAATTAAGCTGTCAAACGTTTGGAAATTTGTCAAAAAATGTTTCGTGTTTTCGAATTGTCCGTGTTTCTACTTATTGCTTTTTCGGCCCGTTTTTCGATTTTTACATTTTCATGGTATACATACAAAAGTATATTGAATAAAATTTCTATCACAAAACTGCAGACGGGGAAGCAACCCGAAAAATGCATATCGCAAAAAATAGTGGAGAAGAAGAAAGTGAGAAAAGTGTTTGAGAACGTCGTAAATCTGGGCATTTTGATCGAAAAAGATCAATGTTTCGGTTTAAAATCAAATTTTATGAAAATTAAATGTTTCCTCTTACGGATAATTTTTCATACATTTTGACCCCAGCAGTCAAAAAAATTTTGTTATCTAAAAACTATGTAAAATCCTAAAATTATTTACATGGTGTGCTGGGGCCGTAGAGATACACCGGGGGGAAAATTGGTTTCTCCTTCCCCCCGCGCTAACAGTCCAGAACTGCCTTTGCATGGTTTAATTTGCATGGATCGCCATCGGAAATTGCTTCATTTTGCATACGACGCGACGTATTTAGGGCAAGCGGTGGAATTGGACCTTACATTGCGAGAGACTTACTTGAGTCCGTCTTCCCCATCTGGCTTCAATGGCGCCCCTCTTCATCTTGCCCGTAAGCCACTTTATGCCAAAAGTTTCATCCGCAACAAAATTTGACATTGGTCGGCACCAAATTTTTTACCAGCGATGTGAACCCTGAAAAGCTATGCGCCGCCAAATTATCTCAGCAAATTTCTCGGCTACGGTTTACTTTACCCCCCCCCACCCCCCAGCCGGAAGTTTTTGGCTATAACTTTTTTATTTTACATTATTGTAGGCCCAAATTAAAACTCTTAGTATATTTTTTGACGCTCTATCGAATGGCGTTGCAAAAATTCTGACAAAATAAGCGAAAATACCGACAACTTTGAGACCCTTCGGCTGTGGGGGGTAAAGTAAACTCTTACCATTCACGAAAATGACGTCTACTTACTCAGATCAGACTTTTGCTCACTTTTTCATTATCAAAATTGGTAAAAAACGACCCGAAAATGGCCATTTTACGGCAAATTCCTCTAAACCAGCATAGCCAAAACACAGCCAAAAATGAGCACCGGCCTTTCAAAAAAAAATAAGTTTTTGGCGATAACTGCTTTTGTTTTACAATATTTTGCTTAGAAAATTCGGCTGCACCCAGTTTTTATCGATGCTCATCGCGGGTAAAAATTTGGTACCGACCCGATAGAAGACGGCCAAATGACCAGGGGCGATTGTTTTTTGGGACACCCTGTACATTTAGGGACATCTCCCTGCGGCATTCCACACGCTCAACCGGCAGATTGTCAAGGGGAGGGCCCTAGTCGGCCCCGTTGTGGACGACACCAGCCAACTGTGGAAGTCGCTGGTCGCTCACTCTGCCATCGGGTTCGGACGCGCCATCAAGTTGCAACATCAGTTGATTTCTGTAGGCATATTCGTTCGAGGGGATTTTAGAATTGACTGGCCCGCGCCTTTTTTCGGTACTATTCTATTTGGCGGGGGGGGGGGGGGGGAAATAGGGGTTGAGGCTCTAGTTTTCGATACTTTCGCCATTTTTTTCGATATTTTGAAGACGCCATTCGAAAGGCATCCAAAAATATACTAAGAGTTTTAAAAATATTTTTGAACGCTTTCTAAATCTAGTGCTTCTAGTTCAATCTAGTTTTATTTCACTACAAACGCTGTTAAAATACTCCCCATTGAGTTATTAGGCATTTCCAAGCTTACAGGGAAAATTCAGTCCCCTCCCCCCGATAATGCGAAAGAACCAATTTTAACGCGTTTTTTTTGGTTTTTGTATCTAAAAACAATGTAAAAGCCGAGAAAAAGCGTGTCTACATTTCGTTGTAAGATTGCTAGCTTCTACATTTACTTTTAGGCGGACCAGAAGCGCTCGCATCTCTTGGATGTTTGCGAAACGATGGGGATCGCCCCGTACCCGGAGTTGCTGGCGATGCCTCCCATCGACGGCCGTCTCCCCGGCGGCAGCGATGCCGACACAGCGCCCAACCAGGGCAGCGCCAACATCATCAACGACGTGTTGGCCCGCGACGGACTCGGCGGCAATTTTCAAGAGGTACATGATCACCTTTCTGCAGGAAAAACGGCACACATCAGATAACATGGCTCTTTCGCATTATCAGGGGGGGGTCCCAGGAATCAATTTTTTACATATAAACTGCGGAGGTGTTTCCAAACTTTGTACGATCCGTAAACGTAAAAACGTTACAGATTTTGACGTAAAAAAAGTAAAAAAATCGAAAAAAAATCGATTTTCGACCAAAAATGGCCGCTTTTTGACCAAATTTTCGAATTTTTGCAACAAAAATTCTGTTTTTCAATGGTTTTCTAGCTAAAATGTATGGTTTACCCCAGAAAAATGTGTTCTTATTATTTTATTTTATTTATTTAATAATAATAGGTTATTTAGAGCTTCAAATAGTCTTTGTATTTGTTTTCTATTCTAATCAATAGCTGCAGCTCGATCGTCTGCCCGCTGGCCAAGAACCCGAGTTCGACTTGGGGCCAATCGAGGTGAAAGCGACCGACATCTACAACGACTACTTGCACCGGAGCGGGCAAGGCGGCCATCTTCTTGCTGAGGTACATGATCACCTTTCTGCAGGAAAGGCGGCACACATCAGATAACATGGCTCTTTCGCATTATCGGGGGGGGGGGGTCTCAGGTATCATTATTTACGTCAGATAGTTGTTCTGGCTAACATATAGTTTTCCCTCACAAAATGTTTTTTATTATGATTTTAATTAATTAATTAAATAATAATTTATTAAGAGCTTAAAATATACCTTGTATTTTCGATTTTTATCAATAGCCTGAAATAGTCTTTGTAACTTTTTGGGAAACAAAAACCACGAATGGCATCTTAAAGCACCACACAGTGTATAATTAACAGGCGGGTAGGGGCGAAAAAACGCAAAAATCAGCTGACCCCCCCCCCCCCCTCCTAACAGTACAGTACCGTCAAAAACTCGAAAAATTATGGCCATTAAAATCTGGAAAACCTTTCCCAAGATAACAAACTTGGCCGAACCGCAGACACGATCATTTTTCAGCCGACCCTCGACGATCAACTCGAGGTCGAGGCCGTCATTGATCGTTTGGTGCTCAACTTGGACGCCTGGAAGAACTCGGTGCTGGCCATTTTCTCTTCTGTGGGTTACCCTCCTTTCCACAGTCACTTCCCGTTCTTTGGTTCTTTTGCATTATCGGGGGGGGGGGTGTGGAATTTTTAGCAGGGGGAACCACTTTCTGTTTTACCACCTAGCCTGTTGATGATATAAAATGAATTTTTATAGCGTTTTTAGTAGTTTTTGATTGCTAGAAAGTTAACAAAATATGTTTAACAATCTTCAATTTTCCAAATTTTCGAATTTCAAAATTTGATACCAAATAGCTGAATAAATAAATAATACCTAATCCCCCCCCCCCGATAATGCGAAAGAACCCGTTAATTTATAGCTCAAAGAGACCAGGAAGCAGATCAACGAATATGAAGTGCTGATCAAGAAATATGAGGGTGTGGTGGGTGTAGCTTCTTCGACTCATCCTTTCTGTACTGGACTGTTAACAAGGGGGAGGGCCGAATCTTATAGCCTTTTCATAGCTTTTAGATATAAAAAAGTTTTTGGAATTTTCAAAAATGGTGAAAAGATATTTTGTAACCGTTTAGCATTGAAAAACTTCTAAACATAAAACTAAACTTTTTGTTATTCACTGGTGGAAAAACGAAGATCAGTTTCCCCCTGCGAACAGTCCAGCACGAACCTTACCAACGGCAAAAAAAACAATGTTCCAGA